TGGGTGAGTGTGTGCTCACGTGTGTGTGCATGTGATGGAGTGTGTGCTCACGTGTGTGTGCACCTGTGAGATGGGCAGGTCAGAGTGGGCCTTTCTGTCTCCCTGACAAGCATCAGTGTGGCACGCAGTGGGCTAAAGGGGGAGAAGGTGCTCTCTCAGTCACACACACAGTCGGCAAGGCTCAGGCTTCTGTGTCCAGCACGCTGACGGTCTCCATTTGACCTGTGTTGTCACCATATTTCCAGAGAATGTCACTCTAACTCACTAATGTAAAGACTCACTCATTTAAGAAAAAGAAAGCTAAGCTACGAAGTTAAGCAGCATTTGGGTACAAGTGACAACACTGCTTTGGAAGCTGGCTGCTCGGACACGCTCAGCACCACTTTCAGAGGCTCGCACTGCAGCCTCACCTCAGGTGGCGCTCAGTCTGAGTGGGGGACGTGGGGCCTGCCACACTGAAACTGTGTGTGCCTGCTGCAGTTCTGTTCTCCCAATGTGAACACTGTTACTATCCATCACTTATTTTCAGGTTCTTCACTTTCGTTTCAGCCATAGATACAGTGAAGTGACTTGGTTAAAAATATGCGATGTTCATTGACTGCAAATACTTACTATTGAATCAGGGCTGCAGACTGAGGGTGAGGATTACAGCCAGTCAGAGAATTCCCCCCCCCCGCTGCTGGTGTGGGAACCTGCTTGTCCCACGACCCCAGACCTGTCACGCATGCAGTGACCCTGGATGAAACTGCCGTGCCCAAATCCCACACATGGGCCCCCACTTCCTAACTGTGCACCTGGGGGTTGTGCCACCCTGGGTGAAGGTCTCCTTTAGATGAATGGCTCTGTGCTGTGGGTCCTGGGCGGGCACTTGCTGGTCAGTAAAACTGGTTCAAATGCAAGAAGTGCCACTGAGTTGTAAAAGGCCACAGAATATCTGGGGACACACCTGAGCTCTGGGGACAAAATTATGAATGAAATCGTCAACGTTCACCTAAATATGGACAAACCAATAGCATCTTCTTACTGGACCTGCCCAGGTCTGCACAGAATACAACATGTACGCAAAGGCATTGTGGTCATTTACAAGAGGAACTTTTAAAACCAGCAATTCCCGAGAAGCCCGAGTTAATGACAGATCCCTTTCTGGCGTTCTCTTTCATTAGAAAGGGGAGAGCGGCGATTCAGAGGGGAGCATGTTTTTTGCACAAGGTTCAGCAAAGAGAGAAAATGTCAGCCCAGCAAGGGAAGCAGCAAGGGGGGCCCTCACAGCACCTCTCTGTTCAGCTCAGCACGCCAGGCACTCGCTTCAAAGTCCCCAGCTGACAAAGCCGAAGGGCCGAGCCACCACCCCGGAGCTGCGGGGACCCCCATCAAAGCCAGCGTGCTCTGAAGCAGCCTTCATCCCAAACCTCAGCAATCACCAGCGCACTTCAAACACTGTCACCTCTGACAAGCAGAGGACGGCTACTCGGTCGGCGCTAAGTGCTGGAGTCCCCTGCTTTTTGAAGACGTTTTTCAGGTTTCGTGGCATAAAAACAGGGCAGCGCTCCCCAGCAGCTCCAGCGCCTGGGCCGCTTTCATCCTGTTTCACGCAGCGCCTGGCAGCCGAGGGGGCTCGGGCTCGCCGGCTGCAGCCGCTACAAAGGGGGCCGCCTGCCCGGCTCCGCTCGGCGCAGCGCGGGCTCTGGCCAGCCGTCCTGGAGGGCGGCTGCGTCTGTGACCACGGAGAGGCCCACGCGCGCGCCCAACGGCCCCCGTGACCGGCGGGGAGGGGATGGCGGTGAACGGGAGGCTGAGCTCGTGTTCTCGGGATCGCAGCAGAGCGCCCCAGGCCACCGGCCGTGCAGACCTGACCCCAGGTCCTCCATGGCACCCGTGGCTCCCCGGAGGGCAGGAACGCGCCCCGGCCGTGGCAGCGGCTTCGGGGGCGAGCGAGCGGCGCGGACACGCCGGCAGCCCGGGCAGGGGAGGACCCGGGAAGGGGAAGCCGCAAGG